GGAGGTAGGAATACGTCCTCCTAAAGCCCCGTGTGAAAACGTCCATTGTCTGCAATGATCCACATTCATTTTCAGTGGAAATGCACCCCTTGTTCCCTTGAGTGTATCTGGACTGCAGAAATAATCCAGGTTGATACCACTTTTAACTGCCATGGCACAATGTTAATGGAATTCTGGGAACTGTAGTTTTGACAGATATGTAGCCTTCTGTCAGAGAGCTCTGGTACCACAACAAACTACAGTTGTCAGAATTCCACAATATTGAGCCATGGTAGTTAAAGTGGTGTCAACCTGCATTATTTCCACTGTTCAGATGCACCTTTTATTTAATCTAGCTCACACAGGGATTGATATAAACGGAAAGGCAGCATGTGACACTGCTGTTCATTTAGAACTTATCCATATAGCCATCAACATTATAAGCTATATCACAATTATCTCATCACTTACAGCTCAGTGTGCTAGTTATGTTCATTACAATGGGGCAGGAGCTGTTGGTTTTATAAGGGCATATTAAATTGGTATCTATCTGTGGGATTTGATCCCTACTTATTGTTTCACACATGCAAGCTGTATTTTGATGTTGCAAACAGTGACCATTTTTCTGACTTGATTACGTTCCTAAAAGTTCCTTGTCATGCACTACTTCTAAGGAGAATGGGTAAGGGTTGAATAAGCACAACAGAGTTACCACAAACCCAAATGAATTTGTTCAACATCATTGTTTATGGTTTCAAGAATATAACAAACCCTACAATTCATGGAAGTGTCATACTTGAGTTTACTTCCAAGCAGGTGTGCTTAAAATTCCACCTGACCAGCTCAATCTTATCTTAATGCAAGATATACTGATATATTAAACTAGGGATAGATAGAAACCTCTTGTTCTGACCAAACTAGTGTTGTGCCCTCTAAACCTCCTTTGTTCTGGCAACTGGTCTCAGAGATCAGCCAGCAAAGCAATCTGCCAAAGCAACTCTTCCAGCAGAAGAGCCAAAATAGGACGGAAGAGAAGCAGAATGAAAGAAGTGCCAAATTATGTCAGATCCAGCCCAGGGGGCCAGTTACTGGGCCATCAGAAAGTGAGGCATCATTTGGCCAGGTATCACTAGGCCATATTTATGAGTATAGTTCAGAAGCAAATACTATTGTGTTGGGTGGCACTTACTTTCAGCCAAGCATGCACAAGATTGCAACCTTTGGGTTACTTGTATTCTTAGAGAGCAAGTGTGATGTAGTAGTTTTAGCACTGGGCTACAATGCTACAGACCAGGGTTTGAATCCCTGGTTACCCCTGGAAATTCATTGGGTGACCTTGGGCAAGTCATACTCTCTCTGCATTAGAGGGGATGCAAACCCTCTCTGAACAAATCTTGCCAAGAAACCCTGTGATAGGTTCATGTTGGGGTTGCCATAAGTTGGAGATGACTTGAAGGCACACAATGACAGCAACCTGTATTCTTATTTTCTACTTCTTAATGTTTGTTATTTTTAAAGCTCACATGAATAGCTGTTTTTAAAGTTCACATGTATTGGAAGAAAATCAACCTGGGAAACTATGAGCTGCCCAAAATGTTTCAAGGTACAGATATTATTTGCCTTATGTACTCATATGAATGTTGACACCTAGGCATTTGAGGGAAAATGATCTGTATACAAATTTTGGAAACTCTCTACAACTTTACTAATGAACTCCTGGGAGCAGTGTAACAATCAGGTCAATTTTTATTTTTATTTTATTTTATTAGCAAAAATGGAGACCAAATTGTGAGTACCGGTACATGTGAAATGCAAGATGAAGTGTGTATCTTTTTTCTTTCTTTTTGGTATATTCTTATTTTAAATTGTTATTTCCTGTGCTTTGCAGCAGGATTGGAATATATTCCCCAGGATGTGCCTTTAAGCAACTGCTCACTTCTTGAGTAGCTATGATTAGATTTGCTTACCATTTGCCTTTTTACATCTCCCCTTTCCTGCTACAGATTTCTTGGGGGTTGCAAATTGGGTCCAGATGAGGAAAAAAGAATTAGAAATGGGTATGAAAAATTGTGGTTGTGGGAATCACATACCTGTGTTTCATAGAATGGGAAAGCAGTTGCCTGGCTGAAATTTAGCTTTTAGAAAGTTAAAGTTTTCCCAACCCCTGTTTTAGAAACACACACAAAATATCCCTAGCTATGGTTCAATACATGGGTTAATGCAAGAAATCAAACTAATATATTACAGATTTGATATAGGTGCAGCTTCTCCTGCTAGGAAGGAGAAGGAAAGCAGTTTCTGGGCAGCCATTTTGAGTGGGGCTTTGAGGTTGTTGTTTTTTGTTCAGAGGAAGAGAAACTGAGACTTGCCTCCAGTATAAGGTAGCATCCAGGAGCTCTCTGTAGAGTTGGAAGCCCAGTTGATTGAGCTCGCTGACAAAGCCTGGTGAAAAGACCAAGAGAACAGGGAACCTTTATGTGGGTATCTACCAGGGGACTTTTTGAGGGAGAAGCTCACAGTCCTGTTTCAGTGCTTACCTACGCTTTCTCAACATGGACAGTGAGGGAGTTGCTGCAGTCACCACAATACTTGTGGGATGTATGTCTTCTTGCCAAGAGATGTGGGGAACTTCACCTGCACCAAGTGCAAGTTCGTAGTCCTCCTGGAAGAGAAAGGGCCTTGACAAACTGCCAGAAACAATGCAGTTTGAGGCCACTTTAACTGTCCTGGCTCAGTGCTAGGGAATCATGGGAATTGTATTTTTTTCTGGGACATTGAGCCTTCTCTGCCAGAGAGCTCTGGTGCCGCAATAAACTACAGTTCCCATGATTCCTTAGCACTGAGCCAGGACAGTTAAAGTGGCCTCAATTTGCATTATTTCTGGCAAGGCCCAAAGTCAAGCAGCTGGAGGCCAGAGTAGCTACACTTCAGCATATTAGGAAGCAAGAGGTTTTCCTGGACAAAGTGGAACAAACGATCTTGGATGGGGACCACACAGAGGAAGTTGTTGAGGAGGAGGTCATTTCATGCACACAGGAGGTGGACACCTGGAGGAATGTCACACAGAGAAGTAAGGAAACCAGGGATTGATCTGGGAGCTTGCAGCTACAGAATTGATTTGAAGCTCTCTCCCTTATCAAGGATGAAGAAGAAGAGCAGCAGGGATAGTCCTCAGGGACAGTGCAGGGAATCCGAAGAGTACCACCGCAGGAAACAACCACTGCTAAGCCTCAGAGGAGGTGTGTGGTGGTGACTGGGGACTCCTTGTTGAGGGTACAGAAGCAGTGATTTGTGGCCCTGACAAGATGTCCCGGGAGGTGTGTTGTCTCCCTGGTGCAAAAATCCGTGATGTGACAGCAAGGCTGAAAAGACTTGTCAAGCCTACTGACCATTCCCCTTCCTCTTGGTCCACGTG